GTCAGAGTCGGTGCTGGCAGTGTTTGTCTTCCATTCATTTGGTTCTTTGTGAGGCTTATAGGCTCTTAAAACATGAGAATTTACCCATAATACAATTTTATATTTAAATACAAAGAAGCTATGATTGCCTGCTGGTGTGGAATGAGAGAAGTTTCTAAAAATTAAAAAATATGCCACAATAATTAAAATTTTAAATTAAAAAATTACTATCTTTTAAGTCAGTGCTGTTTACCAAATGTAACTTACTGAAAAAAATTATTATTCCTTTGATAGAAGCAAGCTATTAGTAAAACAATAGATTATATAAATCAGCAGTATTTCAATAGACTACATGGAAATTTATAACTTTAGCACAATACTTCTAGGAAATGCTAGAATTTCAGTATTTTAAATGTATATCTACTCCAAGAATTAATACTGTCTTGTACTTCTGCTGGGAAAGAGTAAGAATTATAAATAAAAAGTTCTTATAATATCAGATATCTTATAATATCAAAAGTTCTTATAATACCCAATAATTACTTGAAAAACTTTTTTATTCTGTCTCGTAAAGGATGATGAATATACTCATGGATGTACATATATATTTGTGGTATGTAATCTTAATATTTCTGGGCTAAAGTACATACGTCTATGAATAAAATGTAATAGTAGTGTTTAGTAGATAGGATCTTCATACGTCCTAAGGTTTTCCATCTTGTTAAGACTATTTTCTTTTGCTAGTGTTACTTTGACAGTAACATGCTATATGTATTATTACCAGAGCCCTAGCCAAAATATCATGAAACAATATATTTAATACTCATCACACCTGTTTTCGGTATATATTTTAATCCCGTATATATATTCAAGCTTATTCAGTGAATAGCAGGCATTTTTTCCAAAAGCCTGAGAGTAATTGTATTTTGCATTTTAAAAAAACTGAAAGTGAAATGTTTTGTTAACCAGTTTAGTTCAGGCAATTATGCTCTCCTAAAATCCTGTACTCCCGCATCATTTTCACTCAACTCTGTAAAGATTATACGTTGTTAGATTTCTCTCTGTACACTGTAAAGTGTAAATTGGAGGTAACATGAAAATATACTCATGTAAGCTCTCAAAAGATAATACTATGCTTAAGTTGTTAATACCTTGCTCTTATTTTACAAATGTAGCAAAAATAATTTTAAAAACTGTGAAATATCAGTGTTTAAGCTTTCCATTTTCAAGGTCTTTTTATAAGCCATCCTAGGTTGTTCTGAAACACCACTCACAGTAGAGGAAATGTCTCGTCAGCATAAACAGTGTTGCCACAGACTGTCTTTATCCACTAACAATTGAGGTGAAATTTAATACAGTGTTCTCCTTGCTGACCATATTAGGATCTTTGTTTTCAGCACCGAAACAAATGAGGCTACACTATCTACTCCCATAATATTTTAACACCGTACAAAAGTGCACAGATCTCTTGAAGATAGCGTAAGTTCTCTGCCTTTGTAAAAAGACAAGTTCTGATTAGTAAGTTAGCAGGGGCCCTCTTCTTCTGGGCTGCTCAGACTGGGAACTGCTGCGGCTAAAGTCACACTGTCCTGATGTTAAAGAAGAGTGAGCAGAAACGCAGCAAAAGCCCTGTTCACAGGTGTTTAAGCCCATGTCCTGGCTCCGTATATAATATTTACAGAATTTGCTTTAAACTGTTGTGCTCAGATATACATACCTTTACATACTGAATATTTACACATCTACCTCAGCAAACTTAGCAGTGATGGTTGTCAGTAACTTGGTGCCTGACTAGCCCCTCTCGTTACTTGGTTCTAAGTAGCGGTTGTCACTGTTACTCCTGTCTGTCCATCAGAATCACAGCAGTTTCCTGATACGTTTGCACTCAGCCACAGCTGCGCACATGCCGGTCTGTTTATGTCAGAGCTAATAACTCTCTTGGTGTTCTCCGCGAATTACACAGTGTGTTCTCCTAGGCTGGCCATCCAGTTCGTGACGTCAGTTACATCAAAAACCATTTCACTCAGAATTTGGTGTGGTTACCTTACAGAGACTGACTGTATGTGAGCAATAGTCAACTAAAATAATCCCTTGAGCACTAACCAACCATTTTTTTATATTTTATACTAGGTCAAAACAATACCACAGTGAATGTGAAAAATGTTTCTTTTGCATCCAAAATAAAAATTCTTAAAGTGGCTTGAAAACCAAGCATCCATTTTTCATGCCGCTAGCTACACATTTCCAATAACTAACCTTTACTTACAGATTCCTCCTGTAATATCAAAGTAAGCTTCTTTTTAAAATGGGATTCCAATAATGAGTTAAAATATTACACTGGCTTCAGAGTATAGACCAGCGGTAGAATGTTTGCTTAGACATGCACAAGACCCTAGTTCAATCTCCAGCATTTAAAGAAAAGAAAAAAGAAGCCATCCGCAATGATAAAAGAGAAGTGATACTAAAGTCTGCTTTCATAGAACGTTGAGGGTAAACTGTCAGCTCATAATTCTAGTTTCCAAGCCTTACAAAGTCCTTACAAGTGAGGAACTGACCCTTAAAGGCGTTGTGTCAGCAGGTCATTCATTACCTACCATGCACTCCTTAAACCTGAAAGCATTATGCCCTGCTGACAGAGGTCTGCAATCAAGCAGGGATCCTAAAGAAGTTATTTCAATCCCAAAATTAAAATGGAGGTTTCTTGGCCTTTCTAGTTGACGGATTTCACAACATTTGATTTCTTAAAATATATTTTACATGAGAGCTGAGACTTATATAAAGATGGCTTCACCCCACTTCTTTGGCCTGAAACTCATATCTACAAAACAGCTACATTCCTTTCAAAATGTAAAGTTGAACACTCAGTATTTCTTTTTGCAGTTCAAAATAGTTTCTAGTTTAAGAGATGAGAACATCTTGACATGCTATGAAATAAAAATTTATCAAGAATTATCCAGTATGTGGCATTTCGATAATGGGCAATAACCACAGCCAAAAGGACCTGGTTTCTGCAACTCTTTAGGGAGGTTGTCATAAGAATAGATGTCATAGAATTTAAACTGTTAGTAAGTAGATAAATTTTATTAGTATGTTCATTTGTATTAAATTGTATGTATGAAATAAAAAAGTTCCAGTGTTTGTGGCCTCTACTAAATTCTCTAGCGTTTTTACTACAATAGTTAATTCAAATAAAAATGAATATTGATGTTTGTCCAAATAATAAATGTGTAATGTATTAATTAGGAATATTATGTCATTTTGAAATACTTAGCCAAACGACTTTATGACATATTTTCATTTTCAGCATAGCTTCTTAAACTTTCTCCCTTTGTTACCCTCTTTTTATCCAAGAAATTTCTATGACTCTAGTATATATAGAGAAGAATGTATACAAGCCAAACATTCAGATGATAAGTCATAATATTTCAACAGTCCTTTGGTACACATTTATTTATTAATTTATTAAATAAATTACCATTTATTAAAGCCTGAAGCAAAGGCATATACTAAAATGAACGTCCCTATTTATCTTTACATAAAGAATTAATTGAGTCAACAAGATGTTTCTGTGTAACCCTGGCAACCTGAATTCAATCTTCAGAAGCCCTGGAGAGGTGGAAGGAGAGGACCAGCTTCACAGAGTTCTCATCTACTATGTACACACATGCCATCACATGCGACAGGACACGCATCATGCACGCACACACACAGGCAGTGGAAATGTCTGCATCTTTAGGAGTTCAATCTTGGCTGCATGACTGAGAGTAGAAGACAAAAGACATCTTCAGCTTCAGACTGTAAAACCAACACTGAGAATGTTACTCCATAGAAACACATAATACAGCATGGCAGAATGCTTAGATTACGTCAGAAATGCTGGGAATCTGACGTAATCCATAACCGAAATTCATTGTATTTTTGGTTTTGATTTTTCAAGACAGGGTTTCTCTGTGTAGTCCTATGCTGGAACTCACTTTGTAGACCAGGCTGGCCTTGAACTCAGTGATCTACTTGCATCTGCCTCCAGATCACTGGGATTAAAGGTTGGTGCCACCACTGCCTAACTTAACTTTTTAAAAAAAAAAAAAATCAAGTCAGCAACTCAAACAGCAATTTTTATTTTTATTTTACTATTTTGTCTTTCTTTTCTATTGCTGTGATGAGACACCGTGAACAAAGGCTTATGGTTCCAGGGGGTTAGATGGTGGAGTTAGGCATGAGAAGCAGCCAAAAGCTCACAGCTTGATACCCAGGCAGAGGCCGAGAGCACGCTAGGAATGGCAGGAGTGTTTGGAAATCTCCAAGTCCACCCTTGATGACGCACTTCCTCACAAGGCCACGCCTCCTACCTCTTCCCAAAGGATTCCCGCTGGAGCTCAGCCTTGAGCCCGAGAGCCGTTCTCTTGCCAATCAGTAGATGTTATGTACTTTCTATGAATACAAGAGTTTTGCCCACGTGTATGTGGACCAGGTGCATGTCAGGTGTCAGTGGAGGCCAGAGAAGGGTATCGGATCCCTAGAACTGAAGCTAGTGCCTGTTGTGAGGGGCACCTCACGTGTGTGCCGGACGTCAAACCCTCAGTCATCTCTCTAGCCCGTTTGTCTATCTTAATCTTTCAGGATAGCATAGAAAGTAGCTACAGCATCTACATACATGTGTCCTTACACTTCTCATTCGCTCCCCAGCACCCTCCCTTTGCCCCTCCCCCGCCCAGCAGGCTCACTTCCTTCCCCTCGCTACCTCCTTACTTCATTCCCTGTCTCCCGTAAGACCCCTTCGTCCCCTCGTGAGCCTCTTTCTGCTTCGATGATTCTTTAATCAAATACTCTAATCCAATACAACCAATATTACACAGGTTTGAGTCTTTTTATTGTTTCCATTGAGCTATATATTTTTCTCTGCTCCCTTCCCTTCCTCCCCCATCTCCTTCACAGGTTTGATTCTTAAGTACTAAGGAATAACTGATGGAAAAAGTTTTTTCCATATTTAGAGCATTATATATACCCATAAGCAGAAAAAAAAACTGTAAAGTAAAAAACACAGCAATTCCTAACACACAAGAGCTTTGCTTCTGAGCCCTGGTCTTTCATTGCCCAGCTTTGCTTTGTCCTGCTGTGAGAAAATGCCAGAACCAAAAGCAACGGAAAGAAAAAAGAGCTTTTCTGACTTCCGGTTCTAGCTGGATGGCGAAGAGGGATAGCGGAAGGTGGAGGCACAGCAGCAGGAAGCTACGTGCGCACGTCTTCACACACAGAAAGCAGAGCAAACAGAGTAGGGAAAAGAAACATTACCAGCGTCCCTTCAACCTGCTGCTTCCAGCAAAGCTCCTCCAGCCCCGGCCCCCAAACAGCACCAACTGGGAAGCAAGTGTTCCAACACCCAAACCTACAGGGGCCGTTTCTCGCCCAACCTTCGGCAGCCTTTGTGGGCACTGAGTGCACGCCAGGCACCTGCAGAGCAACGTGCACACGTGTGTACAGAACCAAGGCTGCGGTGTCGTGCCGCACAAGGGTGAGGGCCACCAGAGGTACTTGGGTTCCGCACGTTTTCAGTAGACTTGGTTGTGTGCTCAGAAACCTTCCGCTGTTGACAATTGTTTTGATCCCTACAATTCGCTATGCGGCCCACTAGGAAGTGGGCTGAGGCGACCACTGCGTTCTAGGACTTAGAGCTCTCCTGAAAATAAGAGAGTCATGTCAAAGAGCTGGAGGCTAGATAGTTCCTAAGAATTGCTTAAACTTGCGTCAAGATGGAAGCAGGTTTGGGATACATAAATTAGTGAATATGCCATATTTCACAAAAACGGTGCTTCACAAGTTTTTGTTGGTACTTTCATAATCTAACTCCCTTCAGCTTCAAGCACTAATGTGAGACTCTTTTCATCTCAAATAATTTGCATCTAATTACGCTCTCCGCAGCATTTACAACTGGAATTCATGCTAAGGTGTGCTAAGGCTCGGCACGGAGCCCTTTGAGTCTCGGTGCTGACTCCAGTGCGCCCATTTCTCAGCAGCTTCTGGGCCAGAGGGACAGATGAAACACGGAGGCGGAGCTATTAGCTTTCTCGTGGGTCTCACTGCTGGACTAACAGTTCCCTCAACTGTCGCGCTTCGGCTCGTGACCAGACTGCCCTGTCTGTACCTCCAGAGTGCTGTGATTAACGGGGTGAGCCAGTACACCCAGCTGGGGTGGGGGCTACTGAGAGAGGACTGACCGAACCCAGTACATGTGACTGGCGCTTCCACTGATTTCAACACACTTGTATGGGAAAAGAAAATGGAAAGCCACAAAACTTGTCGGCTACAAATTCCTTTCCCTTCACTTCGCAGTAACAATACGCGATGTCGAAAACATTAAAGATTCAAATGCTAACAATTACTGAGATACCGTCTATTTTACTTCTCATTATGATTTTCCTCAACTCTTAAGTGGAATATTTTATGGAGGCTTTTACAATATGTTCCTAGTGTTACTCATAGTTTTCACCACAGCCTGCGGTGTCTAATGTCACATATTGTTTGCCAGCTGTCCTGTTTACTCTCCTCAAAGGTTATAAAATTTTATACTATTACATTATTCATTGGAATACACTATTACAGTATATACATAGTACTCATTATACTAATACAATTATTCATCCTGCATGTTTTCTACTTATACTATTTTTGCTTTTTCTTTGCCCTTTTAATTTTCTTTCCCATTTTCTGGGTTGAGTTTTCTTCCGCCTTTTCATCTGGCTAGAAATATTGTTTGTGTTATTTTGCTGATTAGCTTCAAATGTATAATAAGCTTTTGAACTTTGTATGGATATCTACGGATTTTAACCAATAGTAGGTTCTAGACTAGCGCAAAGGAAACTAACTCATGAAACTGACTGACTTAATTGCCCAAACAAAAACTTAACTACTGCCTTTTTAAAAATATGTCTGACACTGGCCAGGCCCAGTGGCACTGGCCTCTAATCCCGGCACTTGGGAGGTAGAGGCAGGTGGATCTCTGTGAGTTCAAGGCCAGACTTGTGTAAAGAGAGGCAAGAAAACCAGGACTACATAGTGGGACCACTGAGGTAGGGGGAGCTTTACTTAGGGAAAAAAATAACAAATGTGTTTCAATTAAATTACTAACTTAAGATCATATGATTCTGATCTATAACTTGACCATGATGAAGTTTTTACGTCGTCTTCATGTTCAGTGTCTTGGTGATTTTCACAGTGGCTGCAAACGGAAGAGGGTGGTGATTGCTCCACGTTCCCACAGTGTACTGCGTTATTCCTAGTGCTTCCCTCTAGCTACACACTCCAGTCTTCCTTGCTCTGCAGAATTGTCAACGAAGCGTCCTTAGTGGCACAAGAGCAGACTCACTTGGGGCTTCAGTTCCTTCTGGCAGTTGACACACTTTCCTGAGATATTGTCACATCTCACAACATCCTAGATTTGTACATGACATCTGCTTCAACTGTTCGCTCCTTTAGGGACGAACATCTGTACTGTTGCCTGCTTTGGTGGTGATCTAGGTGGGCTGAGCCTCCCAATAGCAGCTGTACACAGAAGCAGCAAAGACCCAGTCACCAGACCCCGTGCCGTCCTGTCTCATCATGAGATGTAAGTTAAACTTAGGACAGCACCCTAAACAGCGTGAGTATGGTCTGCTCGTCCCCCTTAGATCGCTCCTTAAATTCACAGTCATCTTGGGTAGCCCATGATTACATAAAAGTTAAGAAAAAGAAGCCAACTTCAGCTTGACACTGGCTTGTCTCTTCCTGTTCGCTCACAACAGTTACTGGTAATTTAGCACGCAGTTTAAGCTGACAGCTTAGGCCCTGACTCCAGAAAGAAGACACACGTGTAAGTATAAAATGTGATCAATTAACCTTAATTTGGTAGCCTCTGTTCTAGCTCTTAAACAGTAACCAAGTTACTGCGTTCCTGGTTAGGAGTTAGCAGTCCTGGGGCTGAGGGATGACTGTAGGTAAGAGAGCTTCCCCGTGAGCCTGACTGCCCAGGCTTGAATCCCCAGATTCAAGTAGTAGTTCCGGCAGGTCCCAGAAGGAGATGGAGGCAGGGGTTAGAAACAGGAGAATCCCGAAACAGAAGGCTGGCAAGCCTGGCTTACTCAGTGCTGAAGAGACCCCATCTTCTGCCCACCCCTCCTCACTCCACCCTCATTCTTACATACAGACACAAGCACAAAGAAAACATGCAGTCCACCCTCCTATCCAGAGCTCCAGCAGAAGGGACAGGATCAGCTGCGCACGCGAAGAGTTCCGGGGAGAGCTGGAGGCTTCTACAGTCTGTTCTTGAGCACCCCAAACTGACCCTAGCCGTCCCCCCACCCTGCTGCAAAAACACAAGTGGCTGCGGTCACATCTACACTCTCCAACTCCAGATACTTGGGTAAGACAACGTAAAGACCCACCAGAGCCTCCAACGCACAGAATTGCCACCTCGAGAAGGCAATCTGAAATTATCATCACAAAGCAGCCGTGCTCACGGGCCACCTCTTGCCTACTAGGCCGCCCTCCCCGATAATTCACGGTGACACCTGTGCGGTGCATTGCCACTCCGTACTTGGCAGCGGCAGGGCAGTCAGAACCGTGGCGCCATCCCTAGTGTGATCTAGACTCTCACCCACTCCTGCCTCCTGCGTCATCCGTTTTTGAAGCCTACAGCATGATCAGCTCGCGCCCACTCCAGCGTGGGAACTGGTGGAGCTCAAGGGCTCTGCTGCTGTTACAGGTAGAACCTCGACCAAAACAAACCCCATCAAACAAACTTGTGCGCAGGCGTCCACCTTCCAGCCTGTGCGCTTAGACGCCTTGGCGTCAACTCCGTAGTCTGTTAGCCTGTTCACAGGTATTAACGCTCATGGGTTCCCAAGAAAAACATCTGTTTATAAAATGACTTGAGGTTCTGGTGCAATCAAAGGTCTCATTGCTGCTTCTCCAGCCACGGGTTTTCCAGTTAGGAAGGTGCCCAGTCTATTTGTAGAACACAGTCATAAACGTCTCCTGCTGCTGCTTCTGACTCCACAGATAGAGGAGTGTGGAGAGGGGAGGGCTGCTGCTGTTTGCTTAGCAGTACCGGGATTGGCCCAGGCCTCCATGCCCGCCTGGTAAGTGCTCCACCACTAAGCTGTATCCCTCAGCTTCCTTCAAAGCCTGATCTAGGCGGGGCTGTCACTTCCAATACTGCCAAGAGTACACCGAAATAAGTATTAGAGACAAGAGTATTTTGAGATTTAAAAAAAAAAAGCAAAAGGGTCTATAAGATGCCACATAAAGGACTATTTCTGGGATGGGGAATCGTACAAATCTCCACATCAATTCCCTTCTTCCAGGAGTGGTTAAGATGCCCGCCAGCCTCTCACCTTGGAAGTACAAACCCTCTGGTTAAATGTAACTCTCCACTTGGTAATTCTAAACTGCTGTGTCAGGTCAGACCCAACTGTGTGCAATGGAGGCTGTTTGTTTTACCTGCTGTGCCTATCCAGATATCTGGTTGATCCACAGAATAGGATCCAGTTTACCACACTCTTCCCCTTAGATCCTTGGCTGCATAATTACGCCGTCTCTTTTCTGGTGTCCTGTCTCCTGGTGTCTAGCAGCTAGTTAAATGCCTTCTTCACACGTCACAGTCTGCAGAAACGCACTGACAGCATGCCGAGCTGCTGGGGAATGAGGAAGCTCTCCCATGGGAGACACGATGCGTCTACACAGGACTCATCTACACAGAACTGCAGTAAGGGCTCACCAAAGGAGAGGCCGGAATGTCACTAGCTTTTCTGTGCCTTCCTTTAGGGAAACACGGGCTAAGTCCCATCACTGTGTGGCCCTAAGAGACGCTGTCTGTGCCCCAGAAGTCTACCCTACTGATCCCAGCCCTCTGGAGACTGGAAAGACCTAAAGCACAAAAGTACAAGGAGACCAAAGGAACACTGTGGAACCGGTCCTTCCAACTTTAGAACGCCTGCAAGCATCTTTTCCAAACAGTGCTTCCGAGCGACCACAGCCTGTCGCTTTGCTAACAGACACTAGTGCTGAATGGCACTTACCTCTGGGAGCAGCTGCCAGCACAATCCTTTACTTCCTGGCGAGCCCTTTCTGCCTGATCCCATACTCAGTACGGACGTGGCCTCAGCAACCCATCCCCAGAAGGTGCAGTGACCCACTACGTTCTGCTCACTGTACAGCAGTTACTTTACCATCTCTGGGTGCTCTTTTAGGGAGCCCTGGAGAAAGCCCTGAATCCCTGACATCCTGAACACCCATCATTTTCTCCCTCCAACATTTCCTTCAATAAATGTAACCCAAGAGATCTAAATAAGGTGTTTACAATCAAACTTTAGTAACAAAAGAAAAAGACAGGCATGGTGACACACCCTACACCAGCACCTGAAAGGCGGAGGCAGGAGACTGATGAATTTGAGGCAAGCTTAAACTATATAGTGAAACCTTGTCTCAAAAAGAGAAGTAATGAACAAAAATTAATTTGACATAAATATATTAACAATTATTATATAATTTCAATATTGTATGATATATCCCTTGATATATAATCTCAAAAGCAATCGTATGAGGTAAATTATGGATAAGTCAGGAAATATAAAGAGAATACAGATGAATTATACATATAATCATTACTACAATTAATATTTGTAATACAGTGTACCCAAAGAGCTTTATGGTTTTATCATATAAATAACCTGTTATATTTAACTTATTGTACATGTCATTTTTAGTAATTTCTAGATGAGAATTCTAGTATCTTTGTGTTGTTAAATAGCAGTGGTTCCAAAGTTATCCTTTAAGGAAACAGTAAAATTGTGAAGCTCTGCGACCTTAGATGGCTGAATGTGCGAGAGCAGCGCCATCTACTGGACGAAGTGTAGTACTTCAAAGCACAACTGAAATGAACACGGGCAGAAGTCGTGCCGCCTAGGACACAGGTTCCTAAAGCTCTAATGAAAGAATCAATTTAACAGGAGACCCACGGTGTCTAACAGAGCAGGCTGACCTGTGAAATCCGGCCAGGGACTTGCAACCCTCGTTTCATCCTGGGGAGCAGCAGCCACGAGCGCTGGTCTGGACCAGGGTTTGGGAGATGGTACAATGAGAAGGAATAGTAAGGAATAGTATCAGAAACTGGCCTTCCTCAACCATCCTCCTCAGAGACAATGGCAAACGAAGAACAGTGGTTAGGGGCACAGAGAAATGAAAAGGGGTGGGTGTGAATGGTACCTGAATGGCTCTTAAGGACCCGGGAGGTTTATGTACTCATCGGATACAACGCTTTCTAAACACGACTTTTTAACTTTCCTGAAAATGCAAAAAGAATACATTGGCTCTTTTCCCATCAGCCAGTAAGGACTGAGCCTCTAGGTCCTGTGGGCTTTCGCTAGCCAAGTCCTGGATTGGTCCAGCCTTGGAAACAAGAGCCCAGTGTCAGGTCCCAACTTTCTCCCTTCAAAGGGGCAGGGGTGTCCATAGAATCGAGGTAGGAAGTAGAGCTCTCTCAGGCCTCTCTCTGTGGCAGAGACCCCCAGTCTTGACAGCAGCTTGTCGGCTAAGTTCGGAGTTGCGGGCTGAAGCAAGGTTCCAAAAACTCGCAAACATTCCAAGGCCACGTGAAGCACAGTACCCAGCCAGGGGGCATCCACAGGGTTTTCCCAGGTCAGTTTCCAGGGCGCATGCCTTTGAACGAACCCATTCGTTTGCCGAACACAGCTGGATACGGCCTCCAAAGCCTTATAGATCTGAAAGTCGTCATAACAGTCCGCTACCTGCTTGGGCAAAGTGGCCACTGCCCTCACGAGCGCATAGTCTTCCGCCTGCGCACGAACCGACGGCCCCGTTAGCCCTGGCTCGCTGGGGAAACAGGCAGCGCAGAAAGCCGGGTAGGTCCCAGATGGGTTTATTCTGTGGGCAGTGCACCGGTTTAAAAGCCCTCCCAGGGCATCTGCCAGCTCGGAGTCCAGCAGTTTGACCACCTTTTCATCGTAGTAGTCACAGTCCCAGTTGGGAACTCCCTGCCGGAGGAGAAAGTAGCGGAAGCCATCCACAGTATAGCGGTCAAGGCAAGCCCTAGGATCCACCACGTTGCCCAAGCTCTTGGACATCTTTTGGCCACTCACCGTCCAGTGTGAGTGGACATAGATGCGACGCGGTGGCCTCAATCCGGCCCCGAGGAGAAGGGCCGGCCAATAAATGGCATGAAACTTGAGAATGTCCTTACCGATGACGTGAGATGTGGCTGGCCACCAAGACTTGAAATCTGCATCTGGGTAGCCAACTACGGTCAGATAGTTGACCAGGGCATCCAGCCACACGTAGATAGTCTGCGAATCGTCCCCGGGGACCGGAATGCCCCAGTGCAGGTGGCTACTCCTTCGAGAAACGGACAAATCAGGCAGCTCCTCTTCCAGCCACTGCAGAACGGTCTGGCGGAACGGCTCCGGGGTGATCGCCTGTGGGTCGTTTTGAAGCCACCGCTGGAGTGGTTCTCGAAACTGGGAGAGCCTGAAAATGTAATTTTCCTCCTTGGTCCAGGAGACGGGATGTCCGCTCTCCAGAGACACAGGACGCGGCTCCCCAGACGGACCCACCTGCCGAGTGACCTTGGCCTCGGGCAGGAAGCACTCGTCGGAGGCGCAGTACCAGCCCTCGTAGAGTCCTTTGTAAAGCAGACCCCGGGCCTCCAGCAAGCGCCAGAAGTGCTGCACCGCCTCCCGGTGCCGGGCCTCCGTGGTGCGAATGAAGTCGGTGGAGGAGATGTCAGCCTCCCGGAAAAGCTGCCGGAACTGGGCAGACACGCGATCGCAGAGCTCGATCGGGGCCAGGCCCGCGCCGGCTGCCGCCTGCTGGATCTTCAGGCCGTGCTCGTCGGTGCCGGTGGAGAACCGCGTGGACGCGGAGCCGGGAACCCGGAGACGCCGGTGGCGGCACAGGGCGTCGGTCAGCAGCGCCGAGTACAGGTGCCCGATGTGCGGCGCGGCGTTCACGTAGAAGATGGGCGTGGTGAAGTGGGCCCGCCCCTCCCCGGCGTCGCCGCGGGCGCCCGGCAAGCACGAACTGTAGCGGCGACAGCCGCGGAGCACCCAATG